CGAAAACAATATAAATTTTGGACTTCTTTATTATGAAGGCTCAAAATCTCTTCCATGGTAGCATAATCAGTTGATCATAAGCAACCCAGTTCCGGTGAGCAATCCAGTTCCGGTGAGGGAAATTATCCAAAATAACCTGGCTTGCAATAAAGATCAATTTGCAAGGCTTGTCTTGCAATGCCTTTACAATACCCACGAATTGAAATGGTGAAGGCAGCGAGGAGCATCTTTGAGCAATTGTTTTATGAAAAGATCAACATCCTCGTTCAAAGCTAAACCATATTGCAAATCAGTGCTCAAGGAGTAGCAGTAGGAGGAAGTTATGCTTGGGATATTGGTTCCCTGTGGCGGATGTTTCTGTGAATGAATGGGCTTCAATATCTTCTTTTTAGAAATATCAGAAAGTTTTAACTTGGATTCGAGCCTCTGTTGGGCAAAATTACTTTGAGAAATGAAATTACGGAAGACCCAAAATAAGTTTTCTAGAATGTCCTTTCTCATATTTAATCAAGAAGAGACCAGCAACTTTCTTCCCCGCTGAGCCACAAACATGGGGAAAGTTGTTCCATCATGCCATTTCCTTTTCCCCCAATATTCCTTTTGATTCAAAATCTTTCCAGAAACACCTTCAAAGGAACTTGAATTACATCTTCATTAACCGGTCTGGGCTTGATTTCTATCTGCAGGCCCTAAGATGTTCTTGGTAACTAAGGCTTTCAAACTTAGAAATTAACAGCGAGACCATTGTAGTAACCGTAACTTCAATCATACGGGCCTGAAAGTTATTATGTATGCAAATACCACCTCGTAATTAGGCTGAATATGGCAGAAAAGTTAGTTTTGTTACTCATTTTCCTCTTTGTAGAAATCCTAAAAAGAATCTGTCAAGTCGATGAGAGCTAAAACACAAAAGAAAATGTTTTTGGAAGGTGAAAACAAAGCCCATAATATAACGAATGAAAAGGCTTCTCTGTTCCTTCTTTGGTATGACTTGATTTCCACTCTTCAATCAAATTTTCAAACGTCGTTAATAACCTGCGTTACTATCTCCGGGGGGAACATCAATCTTTCAGAATCATCAGCAATATTCCTCGCAATTGGGCCCTTGATCCATTGAAAATCTGATCCTTCAAATCCAAGCCAACGCAAATCAGACTCTTCAATAAGAGATCAAATTTTCCCCCAAAAGACAAGGCGGCCTTGTATTGCCATGGAGCAAGAGAAAAGGAGGTTGCAGGAAAAGAGAAGTAGAGAGAAGAGGAGTGAAGTTGGAGTTCCTTTCAAAATAGAAAAAGATTAAAAGTTGGAGACTCCCCGTCAAAGTCTTCAAGCAATTAGAATCCACACGCGTTTTCTTTAAATAAAGCAATATTCTTGTTTCCTTTATTTATTAAAGCAATTCTTGAAGGAGTGGGAATTTTGGAAGTGGAGTTTAGGAGAAAAAAAAAAGTGGTATTCTCATTGTGTGATTTGGTTGGTCTTTTTTTTTTTTTTTTTTTTTCCTTGAAAACTTGCAATTGGTTTTCTAATGAAAAAACTAAGGTCGCAAGAACACGAGCATAAGACTTCAATGTTTCTGAATGAAACCTGACAAAACAAGTGATATACAATATTTCCTTCTTGAAAATATAATGATACTTGCAAGTGAATTTCAGAACAACTGAGGCAAAACAAGAAATTTGACAAACTGATCTCTGTAAGGTGATTATTAGCTTTAATATTCTGGTTAACAAGAAAAAAAAAAATAACGAGTGGTTACAGAAACAGAGGAATACACAATTTCACATAGGCTCCAATATTTGTTAAAAAGAAAAAATATATATATATATAATTATGGAATATGCATTGATTACAATGTCTGAAATAAAAGGTTACTTACTTAATATACGAATGAAATATGATAAGAAATATAAGAAATCCAAATCCTGTGTTGCCTGTAAAGTAATTAATTTAACTAGCAGGAAGAATATAAAAGTATCATACATAATTAATGTTGAAATAAAATGTTTAACTATATAAGCATACTTGGTTATAAATGACGATGCTTATGCCCTCCTCCCCTTTACGTTCTTCCCCTCGCCCATGAAAATTGAGTGTTAATGGCACAACAATTACCATACAGGCAATTTATTTACTCACAGCCAACTTGACTCTTGCATTGCCTTTAGCCTTTAGAAATCTGAAATTGTTCAGTAATGCCCAGATGAGCCATCAATAACCAGACATGAGTAAGAAGCTCCCCTCCTCCAGTTAGTTTCTTCGCATGGTTGTTCCATCCACATTGATTTGCTGCATAACAAAGCATCTCTATCCACACATCATTTATCATCTTCCATTTCTTCTCACTTGTCCATTGCTCTTCTGTCTCCAGAGACTGCAAAGACTTAGTAAGCCTGCATGCATCGAATAGCACCGATTTGCTTCTATTTCCTTTCACTTGGGATGGAAGAATATCAGTGTTCACTTGAAGCAATGCAGTGCAAGCTTGGATTTTGTCTGACATGTATTTCTTTTCATGAAAAAATTGAGTGGCTTCGGCACAGGTGTCTTGAAATCTAATCTGTCCAATTCGACTGGGGAGCATGAAAGGCCATACCATACGACTAGAAGATACAGCATGTAATTCGCTATCGATTCGCTTTCTTTACATAATGGGTTTTCAATAATATTTGAATTCTGGTTTAGATCACTGTAAAAGCAGAGGTCTGTGGCAATGTGCCATAGAAGAATGCTGTGATCAAATTCTGTTTTAACACTCCAGCCAATCTTGTCAAAACATCCCGTTTCTCTGAGTGCCTGATCACCCCTTTGAGTACATAATTTTTGGGAAATGCTCATGTCTAATATGTTGCTAGATTTCTCCAAAAGTTGCTCAAAGATGAGCTTTTTTAAATCTGAGGAGCCAGCATCTAAAACATTGTATCGATATTTCTCCAGTATCTCATAAATGCATAAGAACTTGAAGATTCCACTGAACTTGATTGGCTTCTCTTCTAGGCAAAAACTTATTAGATTTAATTTTGCCATGGAATTAGACCATCTCTTGTTAACAGCCGGCATCATGACATGATTGCAACCATGACTGGAGACAGCAGGTAGTCTTGTAGATGGGATCCACCAGCAGATTTTTGCGTTTGCTCAACCAAAGTAATGTTAAATCAGAGGAAAGTAGTATAAGCATCTCGTATACTTGTAAAGCAATAGCAGCAACAAGCAAAAACACAAGTTATGCTTTTGTCAATTCTTGAGTAAGAGGGCTTATCAATTTGAAAAAAGGCTAAGAGAGTAAAAACGGTTAAAGATAAACTAATGGTACGGAGAAAGCTGCCGAGATAAGTAGATAAGTATGTATCACACTTGCCTTGGTATAAAGCAAATCATACATGAATCCAAGCTCAAACTCAATCACTTTAAAAGTTTTCTCCCAAGTCATGTGCTCATGTTGGAAGAAGGACCGGCTACTCTCGATATCCTGGAAGCTGAGGATAAGGTCAGCAAATAATCGTTTGAAAATGCTGAAGAAATATGCAGCATCATGCAAGACGACAGCATCAGGAACAATCCTGTTTGCTGCAGCTTTACAAGACTGGCCAAGCACAATGGAAGCTTCCTCAATCACAGGCTCCAACGACACATTGTAACCCTCGGCTATTTTTGAAATATAATCATCCATGAATTTAGCATAGCTATGTCCTGGATCAGGCTGAGGAAGCATGCATTTCCTAAACTGATCACTGCTTGCAAATCGTAGAGCCCAATCCTCTTCCCACACTTAATTATTGCAAGAACAAACATTGGAACTGCTAGAAAGTTGATTGGACTTCCATCCATGACCTAATTAAAATATAAAATACCCTACCGATTGGAAACCAGTATTAGCAATAAAAACTTACAGTTGATTGGAGTTTTGTCTTCATTTACAAAAGAATAAAGAATCCAAAAGCAAAGGAAGGCACATATCCACAGACTAGAAAAGAATATATGCGGTGACTCCATTAAAGTCTTTCTAGTAATTGGAATACTGCATCTTAATAAAGCAAGAAGGGATTGGAAATGTGGATGTGAATTTAGGAGAGAGAAAAAAAAAAGGTGTGTTACATACACCTTAAAAAAATACAATAATTTGTCTAAACCCGATTTAAGAACTCATTCTATTTCTATAGATCAAATGAATGAAAACTATATACATATATTAAAATGAGATGTTGCTAGCTATTAATTAGGAGAAAAGAAAAAACGCATAAAGTGAAAATAATTTTTAAAAATCTTCGTATTTGATCTATAGGTAGGTCCATAAACCGAGAATAAGAAATTTTTATCCTTGCAAAATATCATTTTTGAATTTTTCAAAAAGCAATTAAAAAATGAAAATGAAAATTACTGTCCAAATATCATTTTGACTAGTTAAGTCTTCATATATATTTTTTAGCAACTGCACAAAAGTTAATCCAACGGATGACTATTAAAGTATTTAAGTCTTACAGCACAAAAAGCACTCTCATTGAAAATTATAAATTACTCTCATTGAAAATTATAAATTTAATTAGACATACATACATATTTATTTATTTATTTGCAAATTTAGACAAATTATCCCAATTCTTATGTCTCCACATAACATGTCAATAAGTAAGAAAAACCATATTATGATAAGCTTTAATTTTGAAAACTTCCAATAGCTTACAACACTCTTCTGTAAACTAAAATTAGAGTAACACAATAAAAAAAATGAAAGGTTATAATTTATTATGCTGATACCCTTTATAATTGAACTTCTGTTGTGCATTATCAATCTTCTATACAGATGCGCAATTTTATCCAAATTCTCATTTTGTCATCTTTCAGAGTTGATGATAACATTGGCACTTTTATTAGTTTTACTTCTCGGAGGGTGTCAATGCATCGCAGTGCATCAGCGCAAGCATCTTCAAAATTTATGCAGCGTCTAAATCTCAGGTGTTTCAAGACTCTGGATTGCTCCTTTTCCATATTCCATTCCTCTAATAGCTCAGTCCACAGCTTTGAGGAACTTCCAAGCTTTGGAATCCTCCATCTTTTGGCAAAGCATTTTTCCTTTCCTGAAAATGATCTGAAAACAATCTCAACATCCTAAGGTTGGGAAGTCTGGTAACAGTGCTGCATTGCTGCATTGGATCGTCGATCAGTCCAGAAGCAGACAAGGTGAGTTCAGTGAGGCTTTGGGGAAACTTAGATATAAGATCTTGATTCTTTAGCTTTCCGACCAAATATTTATCAGAAAGCTCCGCATTGCCTGACAAAGCCTGCAAATGTAGATCCCATGGCTGACCTGATTCATCAAATGACTTCAACCTCAGAGATTGAAGGTGTTTTAGATTCACAACCCAATCTGCTATATTAAACAGCTGCAAGGACATGGCTGCTTTTTGAGATGGAACTGATAATTTGCATTTCAGTGCCAATTTTCTGATGCCTAACAAACTGTCTAGGCCATCGTTTACTGGACTATTCTCATCAATGAATACACCCCAAAATGTTTGAAGGTCCATTAGAGAGTTGGGTTCTTGTGGAGGGAAAAATGAGCTGCAGAAACTCTCATCTAAGAATAAATGCCTTAGTTTTTGCATCTTCCAGATACTTGTGGGGAGAGTATCGATGCAAGTGCGCTTCAAATCAAGCGTTTGAAGGTTCAGCAATTTGAACATGGGAAGCATTTCTAGGTAAGTTGATCTCAATCCTAGGTATCTCAAGTGAAAGAGCTGACCTACTGCCTTGGGCAATTTTGGCTTGTAAACATTTTCAAGATCCAGCACCCATAGGAAATGGAAGCACTTGCTAGAGATGCATCGATCAAGAAAGTTCCCTATATCTTGTCCTGCTCCACTTCCTTCTCGAGTATCAAATGATATAAAAGTGACAGTATCTCTATACCAGGAGTTAAAGGAAGTGGTGTTATTACCATGAATGTGCTCAAAGATGGGATCTTTCTGATCAAGATGGTCAGCAACCCGACGTATCGCACAATTTGTTTCATTGTGACCTCGGAGAAAATTACCTTCCTTGGCTTTTGCAAACCAGTGTACTCGCAGGGCCTCTGGTAGGCAACACGTCTTAACCTTCCCATTGGGTTTCCTCTCTGTCACTTGAACCATATTATAACTGATCAACTCTCTCAAACATTTCAAACACGCCTCTGCAAGCAATCTTCAGGGATTGTCATCATTCTGTTTTGGCGCAAACCCTCATGCAACCAAATGCCATCAATCTCTTTGGGCGGAACATTATAACCCACAGGAATATCCAAAATAAAATAGCAATCGCCTCAAATACAAAGGCAAATATTTGTTGAATTGCTTTCCACGGAACTGTTGACACAAGGTTCTTCATCTTGATTTAGTTGGTCAAGTGCCGTTGAACCATTCCTTAGAGTTGCCTTCTCTATGTGACAGTAATTCTGCTAATTTCACAATCACCTTAGGCAACCCCACACATTTTTTAAAATATGTTTTTTTCAGATTTTTGGCTCTTAGCTCTGGAGGGATCTTTATCTTCAAGCATGTGTGAAATGCGCTCTCATCAGTCTGCTTCGCAGATGCAGGTCTGGTAGCAGAGTTGGGTCTCGGTTACTGGTGGAAGTTCCTGAATAAACTATCAACAAACAAGGAAAATTATTCTTGTGCCATTAGACATGTCTCTGAATGCTGTTCCCATTACTCGCCAAAATTCACTTGCGTTCGAGCCATCAACAACGATGAGACACTTCTTATCCAATAATAAATTATTAACCATCTCCCTCAGCCTGTTTGTGTAGCTTTCATTTCCGACAGGTTTTGGACGTTCTTTATTATGAAGGCTCAAAATCGCTTCCATGATCTCATAATAACTTAGTCCAGAAACCCAGTTCCGGTGAGGGAAATTATCTAAAATACCCTGGCTGTCACAGATCAACTTTGCAAGGTTTGTCTTGCCAATGCCTTTAACACCCACAATTGAAATGGCAGCGAGGATCATCTTTGAGCAGTTGTTTTATAACTGCATCAACATCCTCTTCAAAGCTAACCATATCAATATCAAGTTGCTCAGGAGTAGCAGGAGGAGTTATGCTTGGTATCCGTCCCAGATCCATGTTGTTTGATCAATGGCTTCATGTGTTCGTTCTGAAATATCAGAGACTATAACTTGGATTCGAGCCATCTGTTGGGCAATATTACGTTGAGAAATGAAATTACGGGGAGACCAAAATAAGCTTTTGGGATTACGTTCATTTTTAGTCAAGAAGAGCCCAACAACATTCTCAGTGGAGCGACAAACATCGCAAAGTTCTTCCGTCCATGCTATTCCCATTTCACTCAGTGTTTGTCGTGATTCAAGATCTTTTAGAAAGACCTGATTCAAGATCTTTTAGAAAGACCTTCAAGGACTTGAATTCATCTCTTAACCACCTGGCTTGCTTTCTAACTGCAGGCCTGAGCTGTCTCTTGGTAGCTAAGGCTTCAAACTTAGAAATTACAGGCGAAACAATCGTCGTGCCTATTTCCAAATCATATGGGCTAAAGGTATCATGCCAACTGCCGCCACCGCCGCATAACTTCCTGAATGTTCTGGGAATTTTAACTTTTATCAGTTCCAATTTTTTGTAGAATCTATAAGAATCTGTCAAATCGATGAGTGCCAAAACATAAAAGAACTGTCTTGGAAGATCAACAAGGCTCAAAACACAGCGAATAATAGCTTCTGCGCTCCTCCTTTGGGCTGATCTGATTATCAACCCATCAATGAAATCTTCAATGTCATACATAATGTCGATCAATTCATATGTGGACCACATTCTCTTCGACAAATCAGCATATTTTCGCAACTGGGCTTCGCAACTGGGCTTCGATCCATTGGAATTGATCTTCAAATCCAAGCAATGAATCAGACTCTTGAACAAGAAGATTCAAAATTTTTCCTAAAACAGACAAAATGGTTTGCCTTGCCATGTCTGGGTTAGTTGTTCTGGGAAAGGAAAGCGTGTCGCAGAAGAGAGAAGTGAAGGGACGAGCCGAAGAGGAGTAAAGTATGGAGTTTTTTTTCTTTATTTCGAAGGAGCAGTCAAGTAAGGTGTTGGGTTAGGGACAGTACTTGTTATAAGTGTTCTAGCTGTTCGAAATTATATTACTACTTCGGTCTGATCCATCCGTTTATACTAGCAATCAGTTGTTAAATAATTTGTATTTTATAAAATTTTGATGATGGTTGTTTTTGAAATGTAAAATGACAGTTGATTGTATAATTATTTTTATTTTTATTTTTATATAGTATGACATATAATGTGTATGACATATAATGTGTATGCATTTATAATTTCATTTTAGAAGTCATATATTTATTTTTTAATTTATTACATAAATAAGAATATTTATTAAATTTTTTAAAATAAATTATTATTTTTAAATAATTATAAAAAATATTAAATAAATGAATTACAACTAAACGAAGGAGGTCAACCAGCCAAAAGCAAAGTAAAAGAAAGCACGTGTTGTTAATAATGGCTCCAACATTACCGTATAAGAAAATTCGACTTGCCTTCACATCACCAATTTGTTCATTGAAAATAGTAAAAGCCAAAAGAGTAAATGAGATGTGGAAAGAAATTAGAAGCCAATAGACCGTTCAATAAAATAGAACGCATGCTCAGAAAGCATCCATAATAAAAGTTATTTATTATTTTTTAATTATTTTATAAAATTTGAAATATCCATATAATAATTGAATATGTTCCCTACCTAATTCCTATTTATGTGATTAATTAATAATAACATTGTCAAATTATTAGATTTTAGGCTTTAAAAAAATTGAATAAATGATTTAAATTGTCAATTAGAATATTTCATTATTGAGTCACTCGTGTGCACGCAATAAAGGCAAATAAAAGTGCATAGACAAGCTTAAAAAACTATATATGTAGAGACTCCATCAAAGTCTTTCTAACAATTGAAATCCACTATGTTGTATATTAATAAAGCAATTCTTTTCTTTTTTTTTGGAATAAAGTAATTTTTAAAGCGATTTGGAGGTGAATTAGGGGAATAAAAAAGGTGGTATTGCTATTTAAATGCTATTTAAAAAATTGGTATTTTAAATGTTTTTGCAAAAAATAATTAAGGATCACTATCAAAATATTTCAAAATTTTTAATTTAAATAATTAGCTCAATTAATATATGGATTTACTTTCCATCTTATTAATCTGAGTTCAACTTTTGGAACCAAAAACAAAATGAATATATATTTTTTTTATTTAGGATTCTCTTACTCTCGGTATGGATAAATTTGCTTGCCCTTGCCCTTTGTTTGTACACAATGGTGTAGTGGCCGGTGTCGAATCCGTCAAAATTAATAATCTCACTACCAATTTAAAGAACTTGAAGAAAATGGCGAGTAAGGTCGAAATCCACAGAGACTAGAGATTAAAAATAGAGATTAAAATATTTATTTTTTAAAACCAAGAAAATAAAATGAATTATGATGGAGGATTGGAAAATTATTGAATCTAGCAAAAATAGTAATTTAAAAATGGGAATTCAACAATTGGAGAAATATTTCCAGCCAAGGTCAATCTTGTACTAGTTTCTTCGTAGTTGATTCACTTATGAATTCAAATTGACTCATTAACATAACATAAATTGGTTTTTAGGTTACCAAATGCTTTTTAAACACCTAGTCCTTTTTCGTAGTAACAGATAAGCAAGACAACGCGTTTTGATTAATCCCTTAACCAAATACTATTTTGACACGCGCCTAAAATTAAAATATATTGGTAGCATTAAAGATAAGACAAGACCCAATTCAATCTAATAAAAAAATGTGTGCTATTCAAAGAAGATTGTTTATCCCTTTAATATAACTTGAAAAATCTGGGCTTCTAAAAAGCTAATTAATTGATGACCAAATTGGTTAACTCATCAAACATTACGGATTTGATTATATTAATAGGCGCCTATCACTCTAAATTAATCAAATACTAGCCTTTACCTTAATTAAATAGAACAACATATCCATCTAAATCCATTAATTGCAAAGAGAATAAACAAATATTGCAAGCAGTTAAATGAGTAAAAAGAAAACAATTCTAAAACACTTTGGTTAGAAATAGCACTTATAAACTGTAAGCTGGAATTGAAAGAAATTCCCAAGGCACGTAATGAGCCATTTCCAAGCTTACAACTAAAGAAAAGAAATTAATTAACTCAAACTCTGGATATGCCTACTAATAAGGCCCATCTCTCCTTTTATAGAAGAGAAGAGAAGAAGTATTTCAAAGGAAACTGAAAAATATATTTTTACAATCAAATCAAAATAAAAATAAAATCCCATCGAAATCCTCTCTATTCTTCAAACTTTGAATAGAATCTTCCAAAAAGAATCCAGCACTCCTCATCCTCTGATTAGTGATTTTATCCCAAAAGGCAAATAAATAGAGTCCAAAACTAATACCTGCATTATTAATCACATAGACCACAAAACCCATCAAAAATAAAATTATATGAATAAAATTAACATTTTCATAGGTTATTCGGCACAAATAATAAACCCATAAAGTTCCCCCAGCACTTAATATTTTGCTTGTTCCCTCAAGGAAAAACTCAATCTAACACAAGGAAATTCACCCAACTCTTACATCTTATAGAACATCCTTAGAAAAGCACCTTTAATTACAAGGTAAAGTTGAGTGTTGAATATTCAAATCTGAAAGTCTATGGAGATAAGAATGAATTTACTTCTTTCAAACAATACTAGACTAGGCTTGAAACTTATGTATTTTAAACATGCCAATTTAAAATTCCATATCAATTTAACCATTGTTAAAGAATTATTGTTAAACAAGC